CCTTGGCTAAGTATCGCGACAGCTGGCTCAGGGAGCTTCGGCCGTGGCTTGCGGATGCTGGCTACCGTGGCAAGGCTGCTCGCAGTGCCAAGGCGAAGCTTGGCATTGAGGATCCGACTTCTGGTCCGCAAGGGCCACCCGGATTGTTGGGCGGAGGCGCAGGCGCGAAACCATGACGGTGCCACGACTGCTACGGGTTGGGACGCTGAATGTGCGTACTTTGGTGGGGAGGGCTGCAGCGGTTTTAGAGCTGGCGTGTGAGTGGCAGCTCGACATTCTTCTGGTTCAGGAGTCTCGCCTGCCTCGAGACTCTTTTGGAGCCCTGCAGAACATCGCAAGAAGAATGGGATGGGCTGCTTATGTTCATCCTCAGGGTTGTGACGTTCAGGGTGGCGTGTGCTGGGGATGTGTGACCTTCAGCCGTTGGCCTTTGGAAGTGCTCTCCTGCCCTGACTGGCTCCCGGCGGGCCGCGGTGGGCTTTTGAAGATCTGGAGGCCTCATGCTCGGCCGATGCTTTTGGCCAACCTGTACCTGCCGGCTTCTTCTAAGGCGGATGCTGCTGATTTGCTCTCGCATTGTTTTCGGCATGTGGCCTCACTGGGCGAGGATGCCTTGCTCATGGGGGATTACAACCTCACTGAAGGGGACTATCCGATCGCTGATTCTCTTGCTTGTGGTGCGGTTCGGTCGGCTAACGAGGCCATCCATGGTGATTCGACCTTTCCGCCGACCTGTCGGGCTCCTGGAGGTGAGTATCGCAATTGTTTGGATTTCGGGCTTCACTCCGATCGCTTGCGCATTCATTTCAAGCATCAAGTGGTAGGGCCTGCCGATCATGACCTCGTCTTTTATGATGTGAAAGCTCCTACGTTTCAATCGATGCGCGAGCGACGTTGCCGTCGTCTTATGCGCCGCATTGCTGAGGCCATGCTTCGCCATCATGATCTCGAGCACCAAAGGCGACTTGAGCACAAAGTGTGGAGACAGGCGACTGCGGCTGGGTTTCTTGCCTCGTCACTTCCTGAGCTGTTACTTGAGGTCACCAGGGCGGCTGACAGTGAAGCGGAGGCGGGCAGTCGCCAGAGAATCGAGTCCTGGCAGGAGCGGATGCGGATTGATGTGCATCAGGCCTCTCGTTGGGTCACGCGGGAAGTGCCTCCGGCGCTTCATGTTGACGGTGAGTGGACGGCGCCTTTGTCGCCGCAGGAAAAGCTGGAGGCGGCCCGTACCTTTTGGTTGCGGTGGTGGGGGCAGGATGGGGATTATGATCGCGAGGCTACTGCTGCTTTTCTTCATGCACGCTTACCTCCTGCTGCTCCGTGTCATGATGCGGTGCTTGATGTGACTGTTGATGAGCTTCTGTCTTTCATTCGCAAACAGCGCCGGCGAGCCTCTGGCATCGATGGATGGGCGGTGCGGCAGCTCGCTTGTCTCCCTTCGTCCTTCTGGCAGTGCCTGTTGCAGTTGTGGCGGGCAATGTTGAGTTTTGGGCGGGTCCCTACGGTGTGGAAGGATGTCAAGGTGACGTTAGTTCCCAAATCGGATGGAACGCATAGACCACTTGCGATCAGCTCCGTTCTCTGGGCGGTGGCCACGTTCCCTGACGAGATTCAGGGTGGTGTTTCAGGCCGCGGCATTAACGGTGTCCACGACCATTTGCTGGAGGATTTGACTAAAGCTACGGGTGGCCGGCGACCGCTCATGGGCATCAAGACGGACATCCGAAAGTTTTTCGACAGTTTGCGTCCGGCGCAGGCGGTAGACGCCGCTGTACATCTGGGGCTGCCGCGCGCCTTAGCTTCTGTGATTCGCGATTTTTATCGTGGGCAGCAGCGCTATTTGGTCATCGATCGGGTGGTGCATAGGACGCCCATCCATGTGCAGACGGGCTTACAGCAAGGCTGCCCCGTTTCGGTTGCGTTGGCGAACTGTGTTATGGTTTTCTGGCTGCATTCCGTGAAGCAAGCTTCGCCTTCTGTTTCTATCAGGCTGTACATCGACGATCGCACCTGTTGGGACAACTCGTTGCAAGCTCCTCAGGCCTTGCAGCGCGCGGTGGTGGCAGGACGCACGGTCGACGACCACTTCAATGTTGCTGTTCATCCTGATAAAATGGCAGCTTTTGCAACGACGGCGACTGCTAGGAGGGCCTTATCAGGGCTGGAGCAGGACTTTGGGCCCGTCCGGGATTCCTTTCGCCTGCTTGGTGTCTTCTATTCCATGAAGAAGGGGCGCTTTGCTCCGGACGCTGCGTCGCTTGACCAGCTGGTGATTGTGAGGTGTGAGCGCGTGGCTAAGGCTTGCAGGCATCTTAGAATGCGTGCGGCATTGCTTCGAAGTGTAGTGGTTTCGGCGTTGACCTGGGCAGCTTGCTGGCAGGGTCATCGAGTCCACATGCGACAAAGGTGGCAAGGACACATCGAGAAAGCGCTGTGGGCGGGCAAAGTGCCTCGACGACGCTCGCGATTGCTCTCTCGGACTGTGCTTGGCGGGCCCATGCTGGACCTAGAGTTTGCTGAAGCTGCGGTAGTACTGAGGGTCGAGTGGAAAAGACGTGGCCTTCAACTTCATGGCCAACCGGTGCGAGGTTCACCGCGTGGTTGGAGCCGGCTGTGTGAGAAGTGGGGTTGGACTGAAGGCCCTGACTATCAAATCCACACTTTGCTCGGTGATTTCTCTCCGAGGTGGCACACGATTGAGTCCTTACTGCAGGCCGCGACGCATGCTTGGCAGCAAGACCTATCGAATCTGGAAAGTCGTACTGCTTTTGAGGGTCCTTTAGGTAGGCGGGCTTTGGTTTTGGGGGAGCAGAAGCAGTTTGTCAACCTTTCGAACCGCACTGCTTTCCGCACTGTCAGAGCTTCTGCGATTGATGGCATCTTCCTCAAGTACATCGGAGTCCATTCTTCATGTGCTTGTGGCGTGGAGGCTCCTTCGACTGAACATTTGCTTTTTCATTGCATGGCCGCGCCGCCTGAGCTTGCGAGAGGGCGCTCGACTGCTGAGAAGAGGCTGGTGTTGCGCACAGTTTCCTTTAGGATCATCCCGGGGAGCATGGAACCTGTGATAGACGATGAACTGCTTCTTTTGCTGCGCACGGCTGCGGAGCACGACGAGCCCATCCTTTGCGCTACGGATGGTGGCTGCTGGATTGGCCCTGGCATGGAGAGGTGGCAGCGTGGCGCTTGGGCTGTGGTCGTCAAGACTGCCACTGAGGAGGTGGTTGTCTCTGGCCTCCTCCATGGCCCGGAACAGACTCCGGCAGCGGCTGAGCGCATGGCTCTAGCTGTGCTGAGTGTTCATGTGGGACGCACTGGTGCTCGTGGCAGGGTTTTCTCTGACAATGATGCTGCGATCAGACGTTTGAGGAGGGCTCGCGAGGGTGATTTCGCAGGACCCTTGTCTTGGTTTTGGAGACGTACTGCAGATGGCCTGCATGGGCTGGACGCCTCTTGGGTGCCCAGCCATGACAAGTGTCGCGCCTGGCACGCGCCATCTGGCTGCGATGACAACGAGGTGCGACGGCTCAACCGACTTGCTGATGCAGCCTGTTCTCGGTTGCTGAGGCGCTTTGAGCAAGAGTGGCGGAGGGATGTTGCAGCTGTTCAAGATGCTTCTGCTTGGACGAAGACTGCGCTGCAACGCTTGAAGGCGGTTTCTATGCCATTTTCTGATCGTGCTGTTGCGCACTATGGGCGGTTTCGAGCACAATTTACTGTGTGAGTCGCGTCTGGCTCCCCTTTCTGCAGTTTTCGAGCTTGGGACGTGGTTTATTCGGCCGCTGGAGGCCGATGGCTGGGTGGTGACTTTCCTCGACGTCTAACCGCACAACTACAGTAAGCACAGGTTGGCGTCACGCAATTTCAATTTCAATTGACTTGTTCAATCGGGCTTGGTGCGTGGCGGAGCTTGCAGAAGCGCAGAGTCTGCAAATGAAGCAGTCGTTACAAGTTGTGTCCAAATCTACCTTGATACGATGTGCACGCACTTTGCATGGCTTGGATGTGCGGAATATGCGTGCATCCTCGGAAATTGACAAAGAACTGATACTCAACAGAATCGGAAGCCGCACGAACATCGACCGGTTCAACACGGAGCTTCGACGGCTCATCTTCGACCCGAGATCTGGCCTCGTGGCATCTTGGCATGCCACGGACACTCTGCAGCAAATCGGAGAAGTCGGACGGCTGATTCGCTGGGGGCTTGCTGATGCAGGCACTGGGAAGGTGTGGAAAGTATGGGAAGCCCATGCGTGAGCCTATTCCATCCCACTGCCCACTCTTACAATTTTTCCTGTTTCCGAACAAAGGCACGCTTGTGCAAGCTGCCCGGAAGCGGTGCGCAGTCGTGTTTTGTGCGTCGACGAGCCAGTGCTGTTAACGGCGGAGGTGCTTTTCGTGCGCAAAGAGACTCTGCGCCGGTGCTTTTCGCAGCTCCCAATTGCTAGACGCTTTACAGGACGTAACCCAACACTTAACTAGCTCGCTCCGTGCTACTGTTGAAGTCCTGCTGCTGTAGTCCATAGGCTTAGGACGACCCGCCACCCATGTTTGTAAGAGCCAGTCCGCGCATTTGTCCTTACTGGCACGGCTCTGACTGTCTGCTATGATCGCGCATTGTGGCATTTAGATGCAGCACTCTCATTATCTGTTGGTTTCAGACTGGTGTTCTTGCCATTGTCATGATTCGTATTCTTGTCGATGTAAAAGATAACAAGAAAAATACGTGACTAGAGTAGATGCCAGAAAGACTATGTTTTATCAGTCGCATAGTGCTCTTTCTTATGTAACATGTTTCATTGGCATTGCTGTAATTTGGGGGAGGGGCCGGCGGTGAGTTTGTTCCTCCGAGCTACCCAGAGATTCCAATATCCCTTAATTAAGGAACATTCGCGAAATTTTAATAGGATTCCGAACATGATTTAATGAATATTCCCTGATCCCGAATATGGTGTAAGGAGTATTCCTTAATTAGGGGATATTGGGGTTTCTGGGTCAAGGACTGCAAAGAGGCCATAGCACGTGACAGCAGCCTCCTGGAGGTGCCTTCTTTGGGGTCTAGGGATTGGAGTTTAGGGATTATATATATATATATATATAACATATATGTATACATATAGATAGGGTTTCGGGCCTGTTTAGGGATGCTTGGGAACGTGGGTTGGCAGTTGACGGCATCGTACGGTTGAATTCGGCAGGTTCAGGGTTTCGGGGCAATTGAGGCCGCAGTCAGACAGTGTGTTAGGGTTTGAGCCTTTCGGTTTGAGGTTATCGGTATGTTGAGCAAGAGTTTGGTCCCAGAACCTACCTGACGATCCAAGCGCACATCGGGGGGGAGGGTCGTCGCTTCCCTTGGGATTGCAGCTGAGCGGACTAAGAAAGATCTTCTGAGCCATGGAGTCACCAGTTGTCATTGTCGTCGTCGTCGTCGGAATAGGTGTATCCTCGGAAATTAGGGACACCTTATTTTGGGGTCCTTATATTGAGGACCAAACTATTCAGCGTGGCCTGAGTACTTACCAATGTCATTCCACGGTTACCTATTACCAATGTCATTCCACGGTAGGGTTCCTCAATCTCGAAAGACCTTGGTATACTCTGACACCCTACTCCAAGCAAGAAGGCCCCTACATTACATGTCTCTGCCCGGTTCCGAAGCTGCCCTGGCAAGAGCTCAGGCCTTTCATCTGGCTATTCGCATCTGCTGCGTACGCTTGGAGCTGTCGGAGGCTTTGTGCCGCCATAGTGGTGTTGGAGTTTTTTGCTCATGCCGGGGGCTCGTAAACTGGGCCGTACTTCATTTAGGGGTCCTTACATCAGGATCCTACTCGTGGTGGTTGATATCAATTTCGGTGACTTCCTCAATCTCTTGTTTCGAACAACACAGCACAGGTCGACCTTGGTTGGTAAGGATGACAAAGGCTTCGAACGGAGACAGTCGCAAAGCAACATGCCGGGGATCAGACAGCATGAGACGCAGGCAGCCAGCGGAAAGAGCCACGAGATACAACAAGAGCCATGAAGAGCTTGGCTAGACCTTCTACCCGATCACGACAGCCTTCCACAGTTTTCATTGTGCGACCATTGGCGTCAATTACGAATCCACCAGTCGTGTGCCTGAGACATCGCGCAGCAGCCAGCAAAGCTCTGTATGGAATTTCAACACGCCTAAGGGTGCATTTGACCTACTGGTGGAGAGGCATTCCTCAACCTTTGCGGTCTGAACTAGCACATATCCCGTGAATGCAAAGCCTTTCAAACCTCTAAGCCTAGAAGCTCTTCAGCTGTTCAACCAAGATTCCCTGCAATGCAGGCTTCGTCCTTGCTAGGTAGGAGGGAAAAATAAGCTGTTGAAGTGCCGGCGAAGGCTAAGCGCCTGGCGGCTCGCGGACATCGGGCTGCTGTTGCAGCTGGAGCCTTCCCCCAGAGCTTATATGGGAGTTTCCGAAAATAGGGGATCTAATATAGTACCCTAAATAGCAGGATCCTGATTATAAGGACCCCAAAATAAGATACTCCATTTTTCGGAAACTCCCATATGAGTTAGGACATGTGGTGATGGAGGTTTTCAATTTGGCTGTGGGATCGCAGCCCCAGGAATTTCAAGAGTGGGAATTCAAGTCTTTGCAGCTCTGGATTCAAGCGATCAGCCTGTGGCGAGCAGACAGCCAAAGAATGCGAGGCTTTGTTCAAATACCTTTGAATCCGTTGAGGCTTGAGGGCAACATCAGACTTAATATTACAAATTGCGTTGTTTCTGTAATACCCGTGTCACTGTTACGTAGTAGTACTTATAGTATTATTATTCCTTCTGTTGCTTGCACGGCATCGAAGCGCGTCGAGCTTTGTTGATGCCGTCAGGAGATTCCGTCCGAGCAAACCATTTCTCCGCTCTCCGGCGTTGCGCACCTGGGCCTATGGCTTCGGGTTTAAGGGGTTCATGGTTCGGGGGTTTCAGGGTTTAGGGGCGCTGGCCGGCACCTCAGTCCGTTCTGCAAAGGGGTTTCAGGGTTTAGGAATTTATTGTAGGGGCCTGAACAACTACCTATACTATTTGAGGGGTTCCTGATTATAATAATAGCATGATGGGCCCCAAAACCTTCTTCTATATAGGGTTTAGGGTTCAGGGTTTATCGGCTTTTGGGTTCAGGGTTGGCACTCGGAAGGTCTGAGGTTCATGGGCAGGTGCTACAAGAGAGGACCGCCTTAAAGACGAAATGAATTCTTAAAAGGTTTAGGTTCACATATCATAAAGGGGTTTGTGGGGAAATGTGGTCGTCAAGGTGACGAATGTTTAGCCCGACAAACCAAATCTAATCCACGACTATGCATGTAGGGCCGGAGAAAATGAGAAAAACCGATAAGGTAACCGAAGGAGCAAAAGCCCTTTCATTTACAATTCTTGTAAGCTGACGCCTTGGCCCTGGAAACAACTCGAGAAAGCTTTCGTTCACTCAGGCTCACGTGGTGCACTATGGTCTGGAACGCGCGCAAACCGCTTTGCTGGCATCTGGGATCTTTTTTGCAGGGACGGTTGCCTTCACCCTAAACCCGAAACCCCTAAACCCGAAACCGACAACACTGGCAGATCACCACTCAGAAGCACATGTAGACCTGCATGACATGCGAGGGCCACGGGCCTGCTCTTTTTAGGTGCGGGATCCGCTCAAGAATCAAAGCACCCATCAGTCGTGAAGCTTCCATATCACGCCCAGAACCTCATCAGCTGCGGAGTGCTTGTGAAAGAAGTGCATTTTGAGCCACCTTGCTTCAGGATGGGTGGTTTTTGGGGGGTGCGTGATTCTTGTTTCAGAGCGGGGGGAGGCAGCCTCAGTAGACCACCCCTGCGAAACTTGCCCCATGCCCTAAACGCAATGCCCTCAGCCGACATGTAGAAGAAGGTCCACAAGCACAGCGCCGGACACAAGTGCTTCTGTACGCCAGATCCAGCCCTAAACTAAATCCGAACCTTTCGGTAGGGAGGGGGGTGCCTTGATAGCAAGTTCTTTAGTTGTATAGGGGCTTCGCTGTCGTGACAGACTTGTTCCCCATGTGATGAACACAAGTGGTTTCGCCTATGAGACCTCGCGCCACATGCCTCGCCTGGATTCTGCGAGCGTGAGCGCCGAAGCCCTATTATAGGGGTCTAAATAAGTACAATTACCAATACTATTCTGGTGGGTTCCTTACTATATTTATAGTATAATAAGCCCCAAAACCCTATTTTGGCTATTAAGGCTCCTATTTTTCAATCCTTATAGTAGCCCTTATACTAACCCTTATAGACCCCTTTAAAGGAACCCTATTCTAATTATTCAGCCCCTTCGTTTCAACTCCACCTCCAACTCCGACGCCTGAGGCCAAGAAGCCGGAAGAACTCCTGGGACTGGTGGAGGCTCTTATTGGGTTTAGAATCGGGCTCCTTTAAAGGGGTCTATAAGGGTTAATATGCCTCAAGAACATACTATGTAAGGCAATCTGGTATGTGGATAATGGGTTTAGAATCGGGCTCCTTGAAAAAATGGGTCTATAAGGGTTAATATAAGGGCTACTCAATAGTTAGAATAGGGTTCCTTTAAATGGGTCTATAAGGGTTAATATAAGGGCTACTCAATAATTAGAATAGGGTTCTTTTAAATGGGTCTATAAGGGTTAATATAAGGGCTACTGTAAGGATTGAGTATAGGGGCCTGAATAATCAGAATAGGGTTTGAGGCTCTTTTTGGGTTTAGGGTTTGGAGTGTGGCCGATGGGCATATGTCCGGTCTGTCTGAGTCTCTCGTCGTCTACGCAGAGTTTCGTTTCGACCCTGAAGGAGTTTAGGGTTTAGGGGTTTCGTTGCCTTTTTTTCAAGAGGCTTTCCGGGGTTTGGGGCATTTTCAGCCCGTTTGGGGTTATTTTGATGGATTGAAAACCGTCTCGGGAAGTATTTAGTAGGCGGTAGGGAACGGGTTGGGGCCTGGGGTTTGGGGAAGGGCGGGTTGATGGAAGGAATGGTGTGTTTGCGGCTTCCGAGGTTTATATGGGAGTTTCCGAAAAATAGGGGTACCTTAATTTGGGGGACTCCTTATAATAAGGATCCTAAATTTAGGGTACTACATTAAGTCCCCTATTTTCGGAAACTCCCATATACTGCTGGGATGATGTGCAAGCTTCCATTTCATGGCCTTCTGATTTGCAGTCTTCTCGGAATCGGCCTTAGAAGCCAGAGAGCCCGCTGTTTCGTTGTGAAGGCACAAGGGGCTGGTGTTGTCATTCCGGTTCCTTGGCAGTCAAGATGAGTCTGCATTTTTGCGAAAGTACCAGAATGGAACCATCATGTTGAACGCCAAAACTTGTAACTGAGCCAACAGTCCCTCCATACAAAGCGCAGGCCATGGATGCCGTGGTGGAGCCCGAATCTTGGCTTTACATGTCCGTGCGGGACTTGAAACACCTAATTCAGCCCAAACCCTACGAACTATAAACCCGTAAACACCTAGACCCTGAAGCCTAAAACCTCCGTTTCTGAGCCCCCCAAAGGAGCTGGAAGCCGTGTTGGCAAAGCGCTTGGCCACTCTACGGCAGCAGGCGTCCACGCAGCGGCAGTTCCAGGCCATTTCGGTATTGGGGATTTAGAGCTTTATGGTTGGGGAGGGTTCAAGGATACCCAGGTTGAAACATTGAAAGGTCGAGAGCTTGGTGCTTAGTGTTTTCGGGTGGAGAGTCTACAGGTTGTGGTTACAAGGCTGTCTTTCGTCGCGGCTGACAGGTGACTGAGTCCGTGAGAGAGAGAGAGAGAGAGAGAGAGAGAGAGAGAGAGAGAGAGAGACAGAGAGAGAGAGAGAGAGAGAGAGAGAACGAACCCTAGACCCTCAACCCTAAATCCAGATGGGAGTTTCCGAAAATTGGGGGTACCTGATTTTGGGGTCCTTATAATAAGGATCCTACTATTTAGGGTACTTTATTAGGTTCCCCTATTTTCGGAAACTCCCAGACAGAGAGAGAGGCTTCGAAATGTTTGGCCTTACTGTGGCTTCCGGAGTGCAAGCAAGTCTCCGCGGTGCTGCACGCACTGAGATTTTACATACATGTATATGATGCTATACTATACTATATTATACTATATATGTACACAAAAGCGAAGATAGACACTTATGTAATGGAGGCATACAGATACACAGACGCAGACTTTGATGATACATCTGCTGTATATGAACAAATACAAGCAAACATATACAGACATCTACATCTCCATTGGCTTGCACATGCACATGCACCGTGAAATCAGCATACATACAGACATACGTACAGGAATACCCTATGCTATACCCCTGATTTCCCTAAACCCGGAACCACTGAACGCTTGTGCTTTGATCAAGTTCTCCCCTTAGTGTCGTTTCACTCAAGAGACCTCGAACCATGCGCGTCATCTGGAGTGTCCGAGTGTGAGCACCGAAGCCACTTAATCTTTGAAACCCTGGAGCCTGAGCCCTAAACCCCTAAACTCGCAGTGGAAGCACTTCTGAACCACGCGACCTCGTCTCACGGATTCCGAGTTGCTGGAGCATAAGCCCTATAAGCTCTCAGCGTTTCTCAGGAGGCCTATGCCGTAAACCCTAAAAACCCTTAACCCCTTAACCCTAAAAGCCCTAAGCTCTCAAATTTGATCAGGAGGCCTATGCGTCGATGGAGACCCCATCTGATGAGTGGGCTTCGGCCTGGGGCTTCTAAGTGGCTTGGCTCACAGAAATAGATAAATAAATTGTACATATATATATATATATATATGTATATTATACATATATATATATATATATATATGTGTATATATATATATATATGTATATATGTATAGATGTATAGATAAATAAATAAATAAATAAATATATATATATATATATATATATATATGGGTTTGGGTTTTGGGCCGAGGGCTGAAGAGTTGCAGTTAGGGCTGCAGGAGTTTTGTGTGGGGTTTAGGGTGCTGGGTTTAGGGTTTATGGATTCAGACTTTAATTAAGGGTTAAGAGCTTCAGGTCGTTTCGTCGTTTCATTTTTTGGCAATCTCAAGCATAGAGGATCTCCTTTTTCTTCGGAAATCCCGTGTCTTCCCGCACCGCTACTTTGGAACCGAAAGCGGGAGCACTGATCCGAAGGACTAGTGCGTCACTGGGTTTGCAGGGTTTGAGACCCGGATGAACTACTAGAGTCAGGGGCCTAAATACTTACCAATACTATTTTGGGGGCTTCCTTATTATAAGTATGGTGTAATGGGACCCAAGAACCTATTTAATTTATTAAGGCCCTCATATTAGAAAGCGCCACGAAGGTTGTACCGTGTCGAACCTCTCAGAGCCTCGCCCCAGATTGAGAGGCGCATTTGCAGGGTGTGCGGCCGGAATGTGGGGGGCGGTAGGGTGAAAGACAGACGGACAGAGAGAAAGAAAGAAAGATAGACAGATAGGTGGAAACCTATGAGGGAACTTGGAGGCTTTTCAGCGCTGCGGAGCGCCCAGTTTTGGCCTGAGGGCCTTCAACACAACAAAGCCTAACAACGCCTATCTTTGAGACACAGGTCTGCACTCCTAGGGAATTCAGAAACTAGGGGGCCCTAATGTAGTACCCTACATAATAGGGTTCTTGTTATACGAACCCCAAATACGGCAATCCCTATAGACTTTGAACCTGAAACCCCACACACAGAGAAGCCTGCTCTGGTGCAGTCTGGGGTTGAGGGGTTTAGGGTTCAGTATAAGGGTTTGCCATATTAGGGTGTAGGGTTTGGGGGTTTAGGGTTTAGGGGTTTAGGGGTTTAGGGGTTTAGGGTTCCTTTCAGGGTTGTATAAGGGTTTAGGGGTTAAGGACGGTTAAGGGTTTTAGTTTAAGTTACCCAAATCCGTTCCGAGCCTTTGTAAGCCCTGCAATGCTGCAATCCAAGGGTAAAAAGGAGGGACCCTTAATAAGGACCCCTAGCTGTATACCCTTAATATAGCTATTATATACCCATTTTATACCCATTATTTTGTCCATTGCAGGGTAGGGGTCCCCATTAAGCGTCCCTCCTTTTCCTGTTTGATGCAACACAACCCTATAAACCCTGAACCCGAGGGTAGTGAAGCATCGCGTCTCTTTGTCGGGATCTGTTGGAAAGCCTTGGCCAGGGAGTTTACAAAAATTCTGAGAGGGGTGGCGACAAGCATAATTATCACAGGAGAAAACTCCGAGGGATGTTTGAGAATGCCCCTTTCTCATGGCTTCAAGGGCGCCCTTTCTTTTTTTTAATAGAAGCGGTGCAGTAGCTAAGGACGGGAGCTTGGGTGGAGGCGAGCAGAATGCGCTGCCTCGAAGCCGGTGGAGAAGGAGCAGGTGGAGGAGGAGCTCCGCGTGGTGTGGGTGCTTGCTGTAGGGGTTTAAGGATTTCGGGCTTAAGGTTTAGCCTAAACCCTAAACCCTAAACGCTAAACCCTAAACCCTAAACCCCAAAAAATTAGGATTTGGGTGTTTCATGCAGGGGTCGGGGCTTAGGTTTAAGGTTTGGGAGTTAGGGTTCAAGGTGCCCGGGGTCTGGGATTCAAGGACTCCAGGTTTAGGACTCCAGCTTTTGAGGTGTTGCGGATTCAAGGGTAAAAGGAGGGACCCTTAATAAGGACCCCTGGGTATATACCCTTAATATAGCTCTTATATACCCATTATATAACCCATTATAGGGTAGGGGTCCCCATTAAGGGTCCCTCCTTTTCCCCTTTGAGCGGAGTTTATTTGAAGTTGAGGGCTGTGGTCCGGATTTCAGGTCCATGCTTTTGCGAGGCTTCGCTGGGACTGCGTTGAAGTGAACGAGGGCTAACCCTAAGGGTCCATATAGGGTTTAGGGTTTAGTATATCTAGATAGTATATACTTTGGCCTTGAAGTGCTCCCCATATAGGTACATTGGGCCGAATGTATATACTTTTTGGGTACAAGGACCCTTATAAGGGTAAGCGTTGGGGCGCACTTGCTGCCGTTGTGGCGTGGCGGATCGTTTCCATGGGGCTGTGACTTCAGGGCGATTCCTGCTCCCGCGGTGGACCCTGAACCCTAGACGCTGGGATACCCCCCTCCAAGACGAGGCTTCCAGTCGTAGAGAGATCTGCTGACGGAAAAAGATGCTTAAAAAAAACGCTGGGATACTTCAGTTACCCAAAAAAGCACAGAAGTATAAGCATTTTACAGGGATATTCCCTACCTTCTTCATCCCTATCCTCACACGAGAGCAAGCAGAAGAACCTCGAGCTTCGCCTTCGCCGCTCTGCGGATGAACCCTGGGCTTTAAGGACAGCCTGAACCCTCAACCTGCCAAGACCGATTTTTCTTTTAGGGTTTAGGGTTTAGGGGTACCTTCCGACTTCCGTAATCAGGGTTTGGTCGTTTAAGGTACGCCCTAAACCCGCTTTAACCTCCCTTCCCGAAGGAGCCTGGCTACGAAGTTTTAGACCGGCCAGGGATGAGTCGAAGACCACCTATAGTCTCCATTGTAGTTCCTTTTTATGGTTTCACCAGATATATAGTTAGGATCCTAGAAGGTAACCCCAAAAAGGAACTACAATGGAGACTCTAGGTGATGTTTAACCGGCGCCGGAGTTAGAACAGTTCCGCGTAGCTCACTGTAACTGTACTCAGTAGGGCTGACAACAGTAGAACCCCTATAGACCCCATCTCGGTCAGTCACAAAGGGAGCCCTTCAAAGATAATGTAGGAGCCTGATTAAGAAACCTTGGGCCGTTTACTAGGGCTCCTTAAATGAATCCTACTATTTCGGGGTTATAGACCCAGGGTTTCTTAATCAGGTTCCCACATTATTTTGGTACCTTTGTAGATCCCTTCTAGTAACCCTTATAGACCGCTTTAAAGGAAGCCTAAGAAAGACCCAGGGTTTCTTAATCAGGTTCCTACATTAGGCTTGACCCCGGGAGGGACGAACCCTCGACTCCCCCCGACGCTCCACAGTACGGGTAAAAGGGTCCCTAATCCCCAAACTTGGCCCTAAACCCTACCTAACCCCGCCCCCCCCCAGAGGAGGTAAAATAATGGCCCTATATAAAAGGCGATGATTCTACATACTCTGGCCCTCAGCCGGAAGTTTCCTGAGCCCCGCGCCCCCCCTTCTCCGATACCCCAAAACCCAAAAAAGGATCAACAAAAACGGCGGAACTTTCTACCCCAAGCTAGGTGCCCAAAGAGGGCCCTACGAAGGGGCCTCCCGAGTCCAGACGCAGAGCGCAAACTTGAAAAGAATCACCGCGAAAAAGCGCTGATTTGGTTGGAGGGTTTGGGATTAAGTTATGGGGTTTAGGGTTAAGTTATGGGGTTAAGGGCTCAAGCCCTAAACCCTAAATCCCTAAATTTAAGGTTCGGGGTTTTAGGTTGAAGGTTGAGGCTTACTAGGTAGGTTAGCATGGCCTCTAGGCAAGGAAGAAAGTTCTGATGATAGTATAAACCTTAAGTCTCAAGCCCTATGCAGCAACAGCAATAAGGATTACCCTAAACCCAAAACCCTGTCTGGCTTGCCCGAGTTGCGAGAGTTTAAACCCTAAACCCTAAACCCCTAGGTATATACCCTTAATATGGCTATTTTATACCCATTATATAGCCCATTATAGGGTAGGGGTCCCCATTAAGGGTCCCTCCTTTTCCCCTAAACCCTAAACCCTAAACCCTTTGTAGAATCCCTATAGATCCCTTTAAGGAACCCTATTATAGGGTAGGGGTCCCCATTAAGGGAACACGGAGTCAGCCTCAACAGCTCAAAGCCCGGAGCTCGCTCACTCTTCAGCCCTCAGCCTCGCAATCATTCCACCCTTGGGGTTCTAAACCCTTAAATCCTAAACCCTAAACCCTGAACCCTTAAATCCTAAACCCTAGGGTTTAGAGTTTAGGATTTAAGGGTTCAGGGTTTAGGGTTTAGGATTTCAGGGTTCAGGGTTTAGGATTTAAGGGTTTGGGGTTTAGGGTTTAGGATTTAAGGGTTCAGGGTTTAGGGTTTAGGATTTAAGGGTTTGGGGGTTTAGGGTTTAGGTGTCCTTGCTTTGAAGAAGCGGGGGAAAGGGGGGTTCATGCTGTAACCGGGCTGCTGGACAACGAGGCCTGCTGCAAAACAGGGTGTAGGTGTCGGTGCCCTCAGGGTTTAGTTTTGAGGGTAAGTTGAGGGCTTAGAGTCTAGAGTTAAGTCCGGGCAGCCGAGGCCCAAGGGGAAAGCCAAGTTTCGGGAGATAGAAGCCCAAGTTCTAGAGCCTGGAGTGGCAGGCAGCAGCAGCAACTGAATTAGCTTTATTTCTCAATAGATAATGGAAGCCGCGCAGGGCAGGAGGGTTCAACAGTACCCCGTCTTTCGGAATCTGAGGGTTTGCGCTCTCGGTCTTTCGTACTCTTTGGGTGTATAGGTGGATGCTTCACAATGCCACACACTCTCTGGATGGTTTGAACAAACAGTGTGGAAGCATGGCTGCAATTCGAAATACTGTCTTGCAGGTTGTTTGCAGGGTTTGGATCATTCTTCCCCAGGTCATGGAGGCGACTTAACCAGAATTAGAGTACATGTTCGCGGGTACACTGAGGCTTCCGATTACAAGAGGTCATGGTGCAGCAGTGTTCCTCTCAAATGGGATGTCATAGTTTCGTAAGCGTAGCAAGATCAATCTGGATAGCCATTGGGCTCCTTGCCCTCGGTCTTGTGCAGGTCAGCAGTCGGGTGGCA